CAAATAGATTAACAGAAACAGTAATACAAACATATACAAACGAGAGCGTTACAGCAAGAATTTTCGGTCCTACTGTCAGAGCTGACTGCTGGAAATTACACTCACTAAAAGGCAGTACCTGCTCCTATTTATAACTGGGAGAGTCTATGCGTTCGTGGGTAAATTACCATAACAATTTTAACAGAAACAGGCGTCTACTCAAGTAGGTGTCTCCATGTGCATTCTTTGAAGGGTTAATTTAACTTTGCTGAGCTGTGAAGCCCAATGTGGCCAAACGTTCTAAAACATGTCGAATGCTAAAAAAAGTGGCATACAAGATTACATGCTGTTCCTGTTCAAATTGCAAAGAGTAATTCAATCACATACAGGTTTTTTCATTCGGTTTCTTTATAGATATCGTATATACTCGTGTATAAGTCGATTTTACATAAAGTGCGATCACTGTATAGATTTAATCGCTCCGGAAAAAAAAGTCACCTGTGTATAGTGAAACAGGTTACCGAAAATGCATGATTTTTAATCTTTTCAAAAATTTATTTTTATAGTACGACCCCCTACTTTTGTGTAAAACAATACGGATAAAAATTCGCATTATTCCTCAAGTATACGGTAGTTTGTTTCCTGATTCTCTCTTTTTGTCGAATTCATTCAGGAAAAAAAGCATTTTTAATGAAAATATCGATAAACTATTTGGTAGGATTGTGCGTTATAAAGTCTTATATCATAGCAGTCGATATTCAAGTAAGTAGTCACATAAAACGAATACGAAAAAAAAAAGATTTATATTGCTTACAGGAGACTATAAGGTTTCATAAACAGTTCCTTTATTTGATTTGATTTGTTTTACCAGCTTTATACTTCAAAACATAAATTCCAATTACATCTTATCCAATGATATATCCGCCATTATTTTCAATGACATGTTGCCATTTATCATGCAGCTCTTCCACACCTTTTGATTGAAATTCCGCAGGTAACATGTGAACAAATATTCAAAGAACCCCCGACGCCTGTGTTGGAGAACATTTTCCTCGTCAAGAAGTTCGAAAA